GGCAGTTGCTCCTTCTGCTTCTCTTGACACTGTCAATGGGAATCCTGCACAGCCCACAAGTGCCAGCAGTCACTCCTAGGGCTCCTGGGCTTCCCTGACCCACGATGACTCTACTGCAGTCTGCATCCCGCTAGCTGCATGTTCTCCAGGTGACCCTGTCCTGACGCCTGTCTCCTGACTTCTGCAGGCTGCCCAGCACATGCCCATTTTCACTCGTTTCCAGTGAAAGAGTAAACAGAAGGCAAATCCATCAGCATTGCCCTATACATCCCTGCTGGTGCATCCGTGCATGTGCTTTATAGCACTTGCTACTGTGTCCACTATAACATTAAACAAACTTGCAATATAAGTTCCCAAGGGGTTGCAACACCCACAAACTCCCCTATGGCTGCTGGGTTAGCACATATTTCTTTTTAGGAAGGATGTGGCAAACCATCTGTGGCCAGTTGTCTTTCTGCTGTGTATCCTCCCCTGTGCTGTGTAAGTCTATAAATGTCCATGTCTCCTTCTCTCTATACTCTGCCCCAGCTGTTGCATGCTCTGGGATGTCCCACAAGACACACACATACGGGGTCTCATTGGCAGAGCATGTCCTGGTACAGTGGGGTGTCACGCAGGACCTCCTAATGACCCCAAACATACACCAGAAGCCCCCCAAGCTGCAGCCCCCCTTTGGTGGTACCTGCATGCTCTGAGGCCCAAGAATGCTTCTGAGAGCTTTAAGCACCATATTGGGGCACATTTTTCCCCTCCCTGTCCCCTACCACACACAGGCAGGCTGCTGCTAGTCCTACAAGCCCAACTTCTGGAGCTGTTGTGTGTAACCCAAACAAAAAACCCTCCTTTCCTTCATGGCTCTCTGGTGGGCACTGCTGCAGCATCCCCACTGTCAGCCCCAAACCGCTCCTGTTGCACTTTCCTTCCTTCCACTGCACAGGCAGGGGATGATGAATTTCACTATTGGCTGTGTTGGGGCTTGGAGGGGGAGTCTGCCTCGCAACAGCATTGGAAAGCATTAACACAGGGAGATTCAGGATTGGAGGGGATAAATGGGGGGGAGGTGATGTGTGTGAAATGGCACTTTATATCTTCTTTGTATGCTTTGCTCCTCCCTCCCCTGGAGTGACCAGGGATTCTCACACTGCTCCTCACCTCCTTTCAAGTCCCCCACCATGGGCTCTGGTGTGCCTCCTGCCCGTGATCTCCTTCTACCTTGCCCACATGGCCTGAGACTGTCCCCACTCTTCCCATGATCTGCTGAGAACATGTCAGTTCTTCCCAGCCCTGGATGTCTCACCCTCCCATGCCCACCTGTGAGCAACACAGAGCCCTCCCCACTCCTCCAGGCAGGAAACCCTGACTTGATCCTGGTGTTTTCCTGCATAAACCATCACACAGAGATCAAAACAAAGAGCTACCGGGGTCAGGCAAATACCAGGAACATGTGGGGCACAAGCCTGCTCTCTCTTTCTTTGGCAACTAGTGACAAAGCAACAAGATAGGTCCCTTGTACCAATGCCAGTCCCTGCATTCTCCCCCCACATGCCACCCCACTTCCCAACCGGGAAATCCCAATGATCCCAAGCGATGTCCTGCAACACTGCCAGACTGTACGTCTACTTCACTTAGGACAATTCATCACTGTAATCTCCACTACAGCCACTGATCTGATTTGTCTGGGAATAGCATCTGCTGCTTGGTATCATTCTGTATTCATCCACATTTGCCCAGAGACAGCATGGGTGGTTTTTTGGTTTTAGAAAACAAGACCATCATTAAATTAATTCATTTATATCTCTCCTCTTGTTTCTCCCCAACAAGTGAAAATTGCTCTACTCAGGTCTGACTCCCTGCCATATTTTCAGAGGATATTGTCTGAGCTCTTATTTCCTAAGCACGTGCACCAGAGCTCCCCTGCACTTCAGGACAAAGAACAAATTCTCTTTGTTGTCCCATAACAGCGATATATGGGATCAAGAGATGGTCCCTTACTGAGCTTACCCGGAGTTTCGCCTGGTTCCAGGTGCTCAGAGACATGTGGGATTTGTTTCAGTGGGCAGAATTATGCTGAGAAAAGACAGAATTGTTCCTTCTCCAATTCCCATGAAGACAGCAAAGGAGAAATCACAACATGCGTTTAAACCTGCTCTCTGGTTTAGGGTCAGTGCAGCACTCCTTCTGGGATCCATTCAAACCACAAGCCTAAACTGTCTTGTCTTTATTGCTATTTAATTTGGGTCAGACAAATACAGCTAAAAGCATGTCCTGTTTTTACCTTTTCATCTAATAGGTGGCCGGCATTCCCCAAGCACCAAGCAGAGCCCTGCAGTTCAGAGGGCTCATGGTGTGAGCTAACACTGGAGAGAGTAACAGCGGGCAGGACTCAGGCCCGCAGCCTCTTCATTACCTACACTACCAGCCAGTGCCTGGGGAATGCATACATTAGACATCAAAACGCTGGGAAGAGCACAACGGGGAGCAGACTGCTCTCCAGGATTTGCCTGTTTGATGTCTAGGAAGACATCAGGGCTGGGCACTGAACATATGATACCACTTTCTATTCCCTTCCTTTACTATTGTGGCACAGGTTTAGAATAAGAACATCTCCCTCAATTTAACTTAAAAACGGGATAAAAGAAACAAGAAAAAAATTCTTTTTCAAAAAAGAGAGCTGTTTCATTGCAAATGCGGCGTCTGCACACAGGCAGGCGGGGAAAGCAGCAGGAATTAAAATCCACTGAGTTATTTCAGTACCAGCCTGTGCTTAGACAAAGTCCTTCTCCAAACCCAAGGGCCAGCCTGGGCAGCCCATACTACAGGAACCCCTAACACAACAGCACTGACATGAGCTCCTAGAGGCTGTTTCAGGGACTACTGTGGACACCCAGGTCACAGATCACCAGGGGTAACATGGCTCATGCAGCAGAAACAACACATTGGGCTAGTTCAGCTCTCTGAGGCTTTCCTCCTGCCCTCTCTCTTCCCACCCCACGCGCTGCTGCTCCCTCTTAGGCACTGCAAAGGGGCTGGAGATGTAAAGAGCTTTCGGCAGAGGCTGGGGTGAGGGTCACTGCCCCATGACCTGAGAAGAGGTTCCTGTCACTGAGTTAAGTAGGTCTGGACTGCACCAGATCTGTGCCTTGATGAGCACCAGCATGATGCTAGAAGAGGGGGCAATAGAGCTTGCTTTGATGGAGCTCATTTACTTGCTTCTGTAACAAAGCTATTACAACAGCTCTGGTGCACTTCTGCATTAACAGAGCTTTGTTAATTGTCATTGGAACTAGAGCGTAAATGGATAGAAAGACTTTCCCTGATTAAAATGTTGTCAGTGATGGGGAACTCAACAGACCTCTGAGAAAACTATTCCAGCAACGGCCTTGTTTTAAAGTCCATGGCTGGTTTCTAGTAGGAATTACTCCAAAGGCTCACTCCATTTTAGCCTTGTCAGCTAGAAGAGCCTAGTAACAAAGCTTAATCACTGCAACAAGTTGGCTATAGCAGGCTTTTAATTTTCTGTTAAGCTAAATTATCAAGCCAGACCCAGGCAGACTCGGACACAAGCAGCTACCACATATGTTTTACTGCAAACTCCAACACAAATCCAAGACCCAACACTCCCTGTGGCACCATGTAAACCTCCACAGGAGCTGCTCAAGTGGTCACCAGGAACGACAAAGCACAGAGGTACAAGCTTCTCTCTTTTCCACAGCCAGCCAAAGCAGCACATTATCCGAATTTACTCCTGACTGCTCCAAGGTTATAATCCTTCAGTTCCCCCCCCAGAATACAATGTTTTCACATATAAGTTATCCTGGAGGTAGTTTCATCATACACAATAACTTCTGGTCTGGTTGAAGTATATACAGAGGAAGGTGGACTCCCAAGTTTAAGTCCTTTCTTACCCTGATGGTACTCAAATAAGTTCACTCTTTGCAGAGGATCCCTGCCTCTTGCTTATGGACCAGGAGGGAAGACGGGAGAGGTGAAGGGCACCTGCTCAACATTCTCTTGTCAATGCCTTCTCACCATGGGCCAAGAAAAGCAAACTGCTGGGCCAGAGGCAAAAGCACACAGTCACAAGAGGGGTACTTTTGGGAGGCAGGTCTCTGCAGCCCCAGCTTCTTATCTTTGACATCACATGCAAAAACTCAGCCATGGCTTTGACAGCAAGACCAGACCTTAGGAGATACCCTTCCTGTGAGTCTCCTGAACCATTAATTTCCTCCTTAGCCTCTCCCTGCCCAGTTACCCAGCTCCAGTGGGAAGCATGGAGAGTGTTCCTCACCTGAATGAACCATCCCATGTTGGTGATCCCACTTCCCAAAGAATTCCAGAAAGGTTTCAAGCTTCCCAACAGAGTTGGATCCAGGGGTCCCAACCCTGATTCAGCCAGACTAGCTCACAGGAGAAAGCACACATAGTGGCATTTCACGAGGGACTTGATCTTGCTGAGTTAGATGTGGTTGGGATACATTTCTCTAGAGGGGCCTTTGGGGACCTGGGGCTCAGCCACCCAAACTCTGGTTGCCACAGGGGCTAACACAGCCAGAGCGGGCAATACCCTTCAGCAGCACAGAGCCTGAGGCTCCATGACTGGTAAAGGAACTCATGGTGATTTCTAGTGGCATCTGTTCATGAGGAGGAATGAAGATTTTGGACTCAATCTAGTCTAAATGCTCAAAATGTGTTTCAGAGAAGAAACCTTTCTCTGTGAAGCATGCTTTCCAGTCTCTTAATCATCTCACAACTTTACTTGAAGGTCCCTCTGATTCCTGACACCAGAACCAGACACACCATTGCAAACAACAGCTTACAGCCCCACAAAATAGAGCTGGCACAGAAGCAACACTCTTTCTGACTCTTTAGATGGACAATTCTAGCAGTGACAGGGAACACCCATTCTCAGAGCTACCAGTCAAGGACTTTCCAGCCGTGAAAGTGGCATGCAAAGGAAAGAAACATTCACCAGACATATACATGAAGATAGAGGCACTTACCCACTGGTTCCAGGTCTCTGGGTCTGAGAGAAACGCCAGTCTGTGTTAGGCTGAGCTTGCTGCAAAGAAAACAGAAGAGTTTTAGTACCTCCGTTCTTGATTTGAAAATGAAAGCGAACTGATCCTGGATTATTTCAGTGTGGAATATCAGCGTGTTCCTTCCAAGTAAAGCGAATCAATTAGAACAAAAGGAAAGCTCCCCCTCCTCCTTTCTTGAGGATTTCTGAACCAGCATGAATACTGAAAAGCATGAAAAAAACTATTCAGCAAATAATCTTCCACAGCAGCTCAGGAAACCAGGCTGTGAAAGAAATGAAGCATGAAATAAACTGATAAGAGCATCAATTCAGCAGAAGCGATGGTACCAAAGTAATGAGCTTGGAGGAGCAAGGGAGTGGGGGTGGTAGTTGATCCTGAGAAAGATGCTTTTAATGCCAGAAGGTAAAATGGAAACAGACCTTCCTAACCTGTCCTTCTGTTCTTAAAAAGGCCTGCCTGAGATCCTGATCTCACACATTGTATTTGAATGACTTTTCCTAGATGTTGTGCCCTCAGAGCATTGCAATATTTTTCTGTCCACAAAGAGAATGAACTTCCGACAGCAAAAGAAAAAGCATTATTTGTTTAGGAGACACAATCAACTTTGGACACAGCAGCACACTTCATTAGTAAGCCCCTGTATCACTTTCTGCCTGTGTTATTTCACCATCAGACAATGGACATTTTGTAAATAAGGAAGGACATGAAGCAAGCTTGTGTATTCCTGTTTGAATCATGCCTTTGTGCAGTGCACTAAATAGCAGAACTGTTTGCTGTCTGGAAGACACATACTTCCGAGAATCATAATCTCCTTAATTAACTCCAGAATGATAACATGCAACCTGGAAAGAACAGCATTTCTCTCAGTTACCTTCTGAATGAGCAGTTCATCATCCATACAGCGGAACATCTATTTTATAGGATTATTCTGCTTGTACACGCAATTACTAAGGAAAAGTGAAGATGGGTAAAGCTGACCTAGATTTTGATTTAGTAAATGTGATTTCACTAATTTCTCCACAGCTTTGATGATTCTGATGAAAGAATATATTAGAATAAATTACTCCCCTAAAATAGAGGCCCTATTGGTACCCAAGCGGCATGCAAATAAAGCTGTTTAAACATTTGCCCTTCAGATTTGAGATACACATTTCTGCACACACACTCCTGCACTAGATAAGCCCTTCTCAATCTATATTTTGAATTCCTATCTAATTACCACTTTCAAATTTAGGGCAGGCATTTATGACACAAAATTACTTTACTTTTTATATCCCAGCATCATAAAAGCTACAGCTAAACACAGTCACCTACATCCATATTTAGACATCTGAATATAAACGGCTACAGTCTCTGCTAGCCCAAGGGCACCTAAGGTCACCAAGATGCTTGCAAAAAATGTCACCATGTTCAGTGCTGAATAGTGAAATCAGCCCCTTGCTCAGAATAACCAAGCTGGAAAATGACCCCTTACCAGAGAACAATCAGTATTTAGTAACACTTGGGGGTTAAGGAGAAATACCTACAATACACCTCTAAAACAAAGCAAAAGAAACATCAACAAACTTTGCCTTCAGACAATCTTGTATGCCATGCAGAATCATAGAACCATAGAGTAGTTTGGGTTGGAAGAGACCTTCAAAGGTCATCTAAGTCCAACCCCCCTTGTAACAAGCAGCAGTTAAAAGAATCAAAAAGTTAAACACCCCCAAAAATCATATTCCTGACCATGCTAAGAATCACATTAAAAAGGAAAGAGTACGAACGGGGCCAAGGCAAAACTCCAGCTCTACAAACACAGTCTCTGATGTTATAGTGCTGCCCACCCCCTTCCCTACTTCCATCAAACCGAGCCAAAGCTTTCACCTGCCACTTCCCAGGAGGTGACAGTGACCCATGTTCCCTGAAGCCACCTTCTCAGGTAGAAGGACAGAACAGCCAACTGGCCTGGATGTTACCAACCACTGCACTTAGCACACAGGACAGCAAGAACCCCCCCCCCCCCTTTCTTACCCCATCGCAGGGACTTGCTAAGGTGCTGGTCACCTGCTCATAGGCAGCCACAGTCTCTGCAGTGCTAGAATGGCTGAAAGGTTTTACAAAGAGGAAATCACTCTGGTCAGACATGGGCGAAAAACAAGAGGTGTAATTCTGTGCCTGGGAGGTCAAGCCTGCTCCTCCCACGTCCAGGTACTTGATGAAGCCATCTGGCTTCATTTGTCCACGGAAATGGGAGGCAGGTTTGCGGCCAGTCCCTCGGCAGCAACCCGCAAAGGTCCAGCTGGCAGTGCCAGCTTTGAGACACCGGGCAGCTGCCACAGCAAACATCACAAAGGACACAAGGGAAATGGAAACCAAGGAGATGATGAGGTAAAGAGTTAGGTTGGTATCCTTGGGAGAAGATTTGGGGAGGTCCAAGGACTTGGAAAAGTCCTGCACACCGTTTTCCTCTGGAGAAATTACTATTACCACAGAGGCCGAGAGGGATGGTGTCCCATTGTCCCTCACTTCAACCACCAGCCTGTGGGGATCTTCCAACTCTCTGAGAGCCTGTGCAACCCTTATCTCTCCAGAGCGGCGTTCCACTTGGAAAGGCAAAGCCTCAGCAGTCTCCTGCAGCTGGTAGGACAGCCAGGCGTTATGGCCACTATCAGCATCAACAGCTACAATTTTGGTGACCAGATAGCCAGGTTCTGCCAAGACCGGGATGGTTTGGTGGAAAGCCGAGCCCTTAGGGACAGATGGGTAGACAATGGTGGGGGCATTGTCATTCTCATCCAGGACAAACACATGTACCACAGCAGTGCTACTCAGTGCAGGAGACCCACCGTCCTTCACCTCCACAGGCACCTGGAACACCTTGTCCTGCTCATAGTCCAGAGCTCGCAAGGTGTAGATGGTGCCGTTGTCCTGGTCTATTCGGAAGTAGGTCGAGATGGGTATATCCTGCACCCCGTTGTCCAAGATGGAATAAGACAGCTTGGAGTTGCTACCCTCATCAGGATCAGATGCTGACACTGAAAAGACAGAAGTTCCAGGAAGGGAGTTTTCCTGAACGTGAGCTGTATCAAAAGGGCTGCTGAAGTTTGGTGCATTATCATTCACATCAGCGATTTGGAGGTAAAAGGTCTTTTGGGTAGCCCTCTGTGGGAACCCTGAATCCACAGCCCTCACTGTGATATTGTATCCACTGGCCTTCTCTCGATCAAGGGGACCATTTGTAACCAGGGAGAAATGCTCTTTAAAAGATGACACCAGTTTAAATGGGAGCTCTTTTGCTATCTGCAGACGGACCTGCCCATTGTCACCAGAATCGCTGTCCTTCACACCAATGAGGGCAATCACAGTGCCAGGGGTTGCATCCTCCTGCACTGGGCTGGAGAGAGAAGTCAGCACGATCTCTGGGCTGTTATCATTGATATCAATTAATTCCACTCGCAGGTGACAGTGTCCTTCCATGGCTGGAGATCCCTTGTCCCTGGCTCGAACTGCAATCTCATAAGCACTGGATTCCTCATAATCCAGGGGGGCTTTGGTTCTGATCTCCCCTGTCCGGGGATCTAAGGAAAACAGCTTGGTGAATTTACCAGGTGAATTATTGCTTGTTTTGAAAGAATATTCCACATCCCCGTTGGGACCTTCATCCAGGTCGGTGACATTTAACTTGGTGACTAGAGTGCCCACTGGTACATTCTCCTCCAGTTGTACCTTGGATATAGGTGGATCACAGACAGGAGGGTTGTCATTTGCATCCAGGACATGGATGGTAACCTTGGCAGTGCCAGATTTCACCGGATTCCCTCCATCCAGAGCTGTCAGTGTTAAATGATGAACAGGCACTTTCTCTCTATCCAGTGCTTTTTCAAGTATGATCTCGGGCATTTTAACCCCATCCCCCCTCATGTTGATACTCAGGGCAAAATGCTCGCTGGGGCTGAGTTCATAGGTGGAGATGGAGTTGGAGCCCATATCCGGGTCTTCTGCTACCTCCAAGGGTAGCCGAGTCCCAGGGTTGGCTACCTCGGTGATCTCCAAGACCACCTCTGGCTTAGGGAACTGGGGCGCGTTGTCATTCACGTCGAGGACGTCCACCTCAATACGGTGGAGCTGGAGGGGATTCTCCATGACGAGCTGGAGGTGTAGGGAGCACGTGGGGCTCTGCCCACACAGTGCCTCCCGGTCCAGCCTCCTATCAAGGAGCAACACGCCCGCCGCTAAGTCCACCTGGAAGTGCCGCTGCCCACCCTCGCTCACCAGCCGCAAGTTGCGAGTGGCCAGGTTCCGCACCTCCACCCCTAGGTCCTTGGCCAGGTCGCCAACCGAGGAGCCCGGCTCTCGGTCCTCGGGCACGGAGTAGCGGAGCTGAGCGCTGCTGGGAGCCGGCAGGCAGGAGAGAGCTGCGAGCAGCAGCGGGAGCTGCCATGGCCAGCCCCGTCCCGCAAGCATCCCGTGCCGGGTGTGCGAGCGGAGCAGCGCGGAGCGGAGCGGCGGCGGCTCTGAGCAGCCTCCCCCGCCTCCCCGCTGCCGGCCCCGGCAGCCGCCGCCGCGCCAGAACCCCGGTGCCCCGGGGGGTCCGAGCGGGTGTTGCAGGGAGGAAGCCGCCGCCGGAACCGCCGGAGCCGGGAAGAGAGGGATGAAGGGGGTTGGGGGGGGGTGATCGCAGCCCGGCCGGCTGAGCCGCTTCTCGGCACGCAAAGGCACACAAAGTCGGCGAGCGGAGGGGATGGAACGAGTGACAGTTTTACGTCTCTCCACAGCCCCCTCCTCCTCCTCCTCCTTTTTCTCTCCCTCCTCCTCCTCCACCGCCTTCCCCAAAATACGCACGGCGCAGCCCCCCCCCCCCCCCCCCCAAGCCCTGCCGCCGCCGATCCGCCCTCGCAGCGCCGGGAGGGCGCCGGGGACTCCCGGCAGCGGCAAACCCCGCTCAGCTCCGCCCCGCCCGGCTGCTGGGAACGGGCTCCGGCGGGCACCCCCCCCCCCCCCAAAGCGGCTGGGGGTGCCGCATCCCGAGCCGGTTCGG